GATAATACTTGAATGTTTCATACCTGTTTAGTGGAAAGGATGATAGTTAGCTTAGTATGTTAGTCATTAGAGCTAGCTTAGTAGTTTACCATGTGTATTCTTATTTTAAGAGTTGCTGTTGCCGAAATACTAAGTGTTGCATCATCATCGCATGCATGTAGAGAACGAGTTGGCGGAGATCATGACCATCGGAGATCATGAGTTCAAGGAGGTGATCGAGGGGTATGAGGAGAAGATCCTTGTGTAGGAGGAGGTCCCGGAGCCACCACTGACTAACTGAGCTAACACCCTGCCTGCCCGAGGCAAGCCCTGGTGCATAACCCTTATTTTGAATGATCACTGGATATGTATATATATATATATATGTGTGTGTGTGTGTGATGTGCATTTATGTTATAGGATTTATATTGAAACTACATTCATAGATATACCTACCTAGGAGTCCTACTAGCATAGGTCGAGTAGCTGCTATGCTTAGGCTATCGGTAGCATGAGTAACCTGCCGTTACTCACAATAGGTGATTATTATTATCACTCTCATGATAAAATCGTGAAAGGTAATGAAGACCGGGCAGGGATATGGTACGGGTATTGGTGGGTGTAAGAGGTTGTGTCCCGTGGCCAGTGGGGCATAGCTTGGTTACACTGTTTTCCCTGTCCGTGTCGGTTAAGGACCGGCCGTTGCATTGGATTCTAGTCAGGTCACAGACTTATTATCCTAAGCACATACTTGTTTATGGGAGCAAGGAAGGCTCATTGCTCTCTTATCGTGGGTTCTAGCTCTTTCTGGACCGACTGATTGGAGGCGGGGATGGTGGAGGTCTAAGCACCACACTGAGTCCGAGACTCAGGAGTGGAGGCTTGGAGTCCAAGTTTGGACGGGACCTAGACCTCTTGATAGGAGAGTGGTGGGTTATTCCTGCTTGTGCCTGGGGTATAAGCGGGGTGTGTGTTTCGAGGTACCCAACTGGGCTACATTGATTCAGGAATCGCTGTGTAATTTGGTACGACTTGTCTATGATCTAACACCATAGTAAGAACTAAAAGATGAAAGATGGTGAAATGGATCTGATTGCTCAACTCTTGCTTAAAAGTAGAATAGGTGCTTACATTGAATGGCTAGATAAATGAACTAATCATGACTGCTAATAAGAACATCCATAAGGATTCACTACTAGTAAGGCTTTTCACAAAAAGAAAACCTAGCAAACCATAAAGCTTATCATATCCTTTGGAGTCGGGAAGTTATTCCCACTAATCAGGTAAGTCTTGCGAGTACATTGTGTACTCATGGTTCATTTAACCTTGTTGCAGGTGCAGCTTGAGGAGTAGCTGTTGAGTGGAGGATTCTTCTGGTGGGCACAGACGGATCCTTGTATCTTATCATTAGAAGTTTATTTCAATTCTGCTGTTTAAATTCCATACTCTGAACTTGGTATTGTAATAATGTATTTCTAAGAACTCTTGATGTATGAAATAGACTAAGTATTGTAAACTCATTCTCATTATTGGATCCTAGAGGAAAAACGTGGATTATTCGAGTTCTCCCTTGGGATGTGCTGGACGGAACCGTCCGATGTAGCTTGCTTTCGGGGTGCTTAGTGTCCAGTGGAAGACAAGCGCCTCTGAAGATGCGTTATTTTAGGCGGTTCTACCACATGTAGACTGCGACTGCTAGAGAAGTGGTATGGATGACGGTGCTTGGAGGACTGTGGCACGTGCTACGGTCGTTGTAGACTGTAGGACAACGGTGACGTCGGCGAGGCGTGTCTCGGGGACTCGACTAGACAGCGGTGGGTAGGAATTGACAGTGTTGCCCTCCATGCCTCAAGGTCAAGGTCAGTTTCTGCATATTTAATCTGTTGATTGATCTTTGATTCTTTGTTGTTTTTCTCGGTATAAGGTTACTACAGGATATTGTGATAAGCATTTTTTGTGTAGAAATTACTCTAGGAATTAAAATATAATTGAGCCCACATGAAAGGATTCAAACATGCCCTCAAAGGAATGTTTTCTACGAGATCCTTTCTTTTTTGAGAATAAAGGAGTATTCGTCCATTAAACCCCTGTTTAGATTATGAATTGCTAGTTAGGTTACTTATGGTGTAACTTGTTTATTTGAGCTTAATTTCTACATTTGACATGAGTGTCTATATTTTTCTAAATTCTTTCTCTGGTAGTCACGGGTCTGTTGATAACAAGGTGTCTGCAATGACTCCATCAATCTTAAAATTCGTTAATTCAGTCTTTCGGATGTTCTCATGGTGTAGGTGATGATTACCCATACCCCACATATCCTCCCAACTTAATGTAACTCCACAAAAGACTAAACCCTTCATGACTCCAACTATTAGGACAAAAGGGTTCGGAGGCTACATCCACCGTGTGCGCTCTTGCACCTCCAATTGAAGCTACCCTCAACAAGCCTAGGACCCTCGTCCAACCTCTCAAGACGCTCTATGACACGTAAACAAGATTTGAATTTGAAAAGATAGCATTTCGGTGCTCAGAAGAAGAACCTTCTTGAACATGATTAAAGGAGCTTGGTGAATCATAAAAATGAGATGGGCAAGAACATAATTCCTTGACTCTTCCAATTGATCAAAAGCAGATACTCTTGAAAAGACTAATGAAAGATTGTAGTCTTGTTAGGCTAAGACTGATGCTTACCAATTGGCACATGATTGACACCCGTTAGAGGTGGATTCCTAACAACCTAGCAGAAGAAGCCTTAGATGCAACTGGATTTGAACCCACTTTCTTCCATGATGCTTCTTCTTCATGGAGAAAATTGTGAAACTCGCGAACCCATTTAGGTCCATCATCTTCCCAAAGGTGGAAGAACATGGATCACAAGAATAAGATTGGAGACTACGAACAAAGAAACCTACTTTTTTTTGATGAGACGAAGAACTTGAAAATATGGTGATCAAGCAATGAGACATTGAAGTTTGTTGCCACTCCACCCAGAGTAGCCTAAAGGATATGAGCAACCAAATCTTTTGAAAGGAGAAATTTACATCCAACACCATTCGTGCTCACCGTCAAATCAAACTTACGCCAAAGCATCGCTTCCTGATCTCTACTAGGTGCCTGTTTAGTTCCTAAAATTTTGCAAAATTTTTCAAGATTCCCCGTCGCATCGAATCTTTGGACGCATGCATGAAACATTAAATATAAATAAAAAATAAAACTAATTACACAGTTTAGATGAAATTCACGAGACGAATCTTTTAAACCTAATTAGACTATGATTGGACACTAATTACCAAATAACAACGAAAGTGCTACAGTACCATTTTTCAAAAAAATTCACCAACTAAACAAGACCTAGGGAAAGCTGAGCTTGGGAGAAGCCATGGGAAGTGAGGAGGAAGAGTTGTAAAAATGTCGAGCACACAAAGAAAGCACTGGGATACGCTGACGCAGGAGATGGCAGGGCTAGGAGGGAGCCCAACGAAGCCTGCCAAGGCCAGAGGGGCAGGCCCTAGGTGGTCACCGCCTCACCAGGGCTAGGGTGGGTGCCAGAGCACTCATGTCTCGAGGCAGCCATGGCTATAGCTTTCTCTCTCTCTCTGCATCCTATGCTCAGCAACTTATTGCTGGCCTTTTTTCTCTTTGCCTTCCTTCTTTTTAACTAGATGTATGGATTTATATTTCGCTAAATATCTTTTAGGAGGCAATAGGTGATCATTCACTCAGATGTATTTAAATGTAGGACCCATAGCTATTTTAAGTACCATATAAAGGGAGTGTTTGGTTCCCGCGTTCTAAAATTTAGTCTCTGTCACATCGACTACGTAAACATGTTTAGACACAATTTAGCGTATTAAATATAGACTAATTATAAAACTAATTACATATATTGAGACTAATTTGCGAGACGAATCTATTAAGCCTAACTAGTCCATGATTTGATAATGTGGTGTTAAAGTAAACATGTGCTAATGATAGATTAATTAGGCTTAATATATTCGTCTCGCGAATTAGTCACAGCTTCTGCAATTAGTTTTATTATTATTATCTGAACATCGATGTGATAATAGATGTGATACCTGACGTGACACCTCTAAACTTTAGTGTCAGGATCCGAACACCCTAAAAATCTGTTTTTTATAGAATTGCTCAAGCTCAAGAGTCCAGAAAGAGCCTATCATCAATTTGTCACATCACCGTAACTGTTTGTGGTTGCGGGTCATCTTCGAGTCGGACCTGCCGGCGAAGAACTGGTGAGGACTCTGAAGATACGTAAGATGCTATAGATGTTTTTGTTTTTACTCCTAAATTGTTTTCACAAGAAGAGAATGCAAACAAAGTTAATTGAATTTGTTACTTTTCACTTCGTTGCCGTCTATTGAACTACAGAACCTTCAATAATGGCCTCTTTTAAAGATAGGATTTTTTTCATGTTTTATGCGCTTTTCTATGTAAAAATAACTGATTCCTGGAAAATATAATCAAACCATGCTTCGTTGGGTCAAGTGTGAGGTCCTGCAACAAGACTCTAAATCGTTGCTACGCACTCCTCGTTTCGACTTTTTTTTTTACATCTGCTACGTATTTAAATATATAACGTTTGTTTAGATATATAGCAAAATTTATGTACTAAAAATATCAAAGTAACTTATATCTTAGAACGGAGTGATTAAGTGCACGAACCACTTTGGCAATGATATGCGATCAAACTTGATGAGAAGCTCTTCATGCTGACTTCAACTGATACTCCTAGATGCAATTATGGCGTATCATATATACTCTTACACGCGTTTATATCGAACCGATCCACCACAGGTCCCTCTCCCTCAATCATACGGGTGGATTGTACTTTTGGAGTAGCTATAGATAGATTAGATACTACAGAAATTCGTTTGAGCCGGAGCTGACGAATGGCTGAACGATGCAGAATCCTAACCACGACCACGTCATCCTCATGGGACGCGATCACGACGCGCTCGATCTGGCTGGCTCTGCCGGAGATGTCCAAGCCTTGTCGCGGCCACCTACGCATCGAGGCACCAGCAGTGGTAGTCCGGCGTGGAGAGCCGGAGGAGCTCCTCAGGCGTCATGCGCTCCAGCTCCCGCTGCCTCCACGCCGGGAACGCCTGGTCCGCGGTCGCCGCCGGTGCGTCGGCGTCGCGGCCGCCCCGGGGGTGCTGCTGCCCGCGCATCCTGCGGTAGAGGCGCATGGCGGCGACGCAGTCCTCGAAGGGGTGCTGGCGCCCCGTCTGGATCTCGTAGCCGAGGTACTTGAGCGTGAGGAACCTGAGTGAGTTGCTGAGCTTGCTCGTCTTCATCAGCGGCGGGTACGTGGCCGTGTCGCGCTTGAGGTAGGCCGGGTAGTCCATGCCCAGCGCGTCGAGGTCGTGATCCAGGCCGTGGCCGACCAGCAGCCTCGCCCTGCCCAGGCTGGTGCGCACCTTCCACGGCTGCTGCTCGCCGCCGAGCAGCAGCTCCTCCACCCCGCTGCTGCGCGTTCTTCACCGTCGTGCTCACGCCGTCGCGGAGGTGCTCCGGTCGGATCCCCGTCGTCTCGTACCGGTAGTGCGTCACCGGGAGCAGCGGCTTCAGGAGGGCCTCGAACAGGATGTTCTCCTGCTCGTCGATGACGCACACCCGCGCGCAGACGTCCAGCGACCCGTCGCTGCCGGCGCCGACCATCTTGCAGCCCAGCGCGAGCGCGCATCCTACTCCTTGCGGCTGCGTCGCCGGCAGCTGGTGATGCTGCAGCGCCCTCGGCATCATCGGCGGTGGGGTGCGCGAGAGCCGGCACGCAGCGCGGTGGGCTCCGAGCGCAGCGGCGCTGGCGAGGACGCGGAGGCAGATGATGCAGCCGCGCGAGGCGAAGGCGTCGGCGCAGTTGGCGGCCTAGGGCAGCGTGGAGCCGCCGACGCCGAGGTGGTCCCTGACCGCCTCGAAGGAGCGGCAGTGCTTGCGGCAGATGTCGCAGCGGGGCTCGTGCGACGAGTGCCGCGCCGCCCGCATGTGCTCCACCAGGTGCTCCATCTTGTTGAACTGCCGGAAGCATGCCGCGCACTTGTGACGCCTGCCAAAAAAACAAATCACAGGAATGCGTTACTTCTCGATGGACTTGTTGTGTCTGTGTTTGCTTAGTTGCTTGCATCAGCAATTCAGCATAGTTTTACTTTTCTTTTTATTTTTATACAGGAATCCCAGCATATGTTCATAGTGCTGATCATAAATATGAGTTCAGTTGGATTTTGTTCTAACTTAAAAAATGTCTTGCCATTTGGACGGAGCTACACGGCGGAATAGATTTCACAACCAGGCCTTCAACCGGAGGAATGGCCGCCGACCGAAAGTGCCTTTGAGTGGTGGACTAAAATCACCACCATGGCAGATGTCCCTTGCAAGGCGGTTAGGAGTATTGCCCTTATCGTTTGAGAGATTTGGAAGGAACCAAACACAAAAATCTTCGAGAAACATGAAACAAGCCCTCTATCTCTTTTTGCACGAACCAGGATCATGGATTGCGGTAGGAGTAAAAAGTCTTGTGATTTTAGTGTTGAGAGAGTAATCTTTATAGCTTGTTTTCTCTCCCATTAAAACAAATTGTCTGTTTTCTCCTATAACAATGAAATAGACACGCTCTCATGCCCCGTTCGTTTTTTTTAAATGTCGGGGTTTCCTTTCAATCTGTGTCCATTTTGTGGCGTGCAGGGGAAAAGAGCTCAAAGAGATCAGGTCTGAGAGAGTGGTCCTCTAGTGGAGTTCTATATACGACTTCACGCTTTTTCCCCTTCTTTTCGAACTTCTATTTCAAGATTAAACTCACTTTTCTTCTCTATCAAACGTGCCACACAAAACTCCTGCCGGTCGTTCGAAAAGAAACTTTAACTAGCAAAGTAGCAATAACTACAAAGAGTTATCTTAAATGAAAAGGGTTACTATGAATTATAAAGATAATGTTCACAATGGTTCTAGTAATGCCAATTTTATGCTGCCAACCTATATAAAATTATAGATATTGGTAGTGAAACCAAAAAATGACTTCGAACAAACACTGATGGACTTATATTTTTGTGATAGAAGTGGTTCACAAAATCCAGGTGTCCCGAGCATGGTAGGCAGCATTTACCTCAAACTCAAAGGAATGTACGTTGAGGCATAAACACACATATAGTTGTGACCTCAAGACTCAGAGCGGCAACAACTCACCCATGAGCATCTGAGGAGCTATCCATCGTCAGGTCGATCTACGGTTCACTGATCCCTTGTTTAGTTGGGTGAATTTGGATTTTAGGGCTACTGTAGCACGTTCGTTTTTATTTGATAAATAGTGTTTAAATATGGACTAATTAGGCTCAAAACGTTCGTCTCGCAATTTCCCACCGAACTGTGTAATTAGTTTTTCTTTTCGTCTACATTTAATGCTCCATGCACAGGCCACAAACATTCGATGTGACAGGTACTGTAGCAACTTTTTGGAAATTGGGGTGGAACTAAACAAGGGCTGAACTGCTCGGTTGGTCGACCGATGATCTGTCAGGAAGAGCCTACACACGGGTGCCTATTTATACTAGGCCGGATGGAACTGGATCCTCTGTCGCCATTGTGCTGTCACTACAATAACACTCATGTTCGATCATCGCGAGCGACAGCCACTGCTGCTCGCTCCATCGCTCGCTCGCTTTGCCAAAGCTTTCTGTGGTGTGTGGCAGGCAGACATTATTGTTCTGATGCTGGCAGCCTGGCACAATGCTAATATGTCCTATGCTATTGCTATGCACAACAGCACATCACACTTTTATCTTCATGAGATGCAGAACATCGGTACCGGCTATTGCCATGTGTTAGCAAACTAGCTAGCCATGTATTTGTACTTGTTGTACATTGATTTTTGCTGAGACTAGGAATCACTGCTAACCTTGTCTGATGCCTAATTAGGATGGCTGTACATGTTCGACTCCCGGCATTGTACTTCAGGCTACCATGTTTATACCTTTGAGATAATTTGGTCTAATGGTTCTCCAAGCACCAATCCATTGTGTTTTTCGCTCCGGTGCTGAAGCAAAAATATCGTGATGTTGCCCATATAGTTGCCAAATGTTGCTAGTTTTTTTTTTGAAACAAAAAATGTTGCTAGCTTTGCCTGCTTCTACACAAGATCTTCATTTGCCACCATGTTCTGCCATAGTGGAATTGATGTAGATTAGGCCTGATCTTCCGAAAGATATGATAGCGTCGATTGGTGGAGACTTGACGTTCACGATCTAGGCTTCGAACCAAGACTGATTCGGACCCCCGCAACCGTTACACCACTGCTTCGTTGGTTATCAACCACGTGAACGCGATTGACCTCGCCGAGAAGGCTTTCCTGCAAGCGAATCGAGAACACAAGCAAGAACGGAATAGACGCAATCTGAAACTGCAAATAGATATGAGGCTTAGGAAAACAAGAAGTAGCTCAAGTCTTTATTCGAAAGGACTAATCGCCACAGGCGAACAAGATCAAGAACTGGGGCCCTGGTTCACAGCAAGCAGCCTTAGCGGCACAGTTGCAGCAAAACGATGTCTGTTTCACGAGGAAATCAAGAACTAAACAAAACCCAAACCCTAAGGAGAGCAACGACTGCTAATTATAGAGTCTTGGGCGTCACCCCCCTGGACGCGCCCCCTAATGGGCCCAAACACGATACACGGTCCAACGGATCAAAATACGGTGTCGCAGCACCCTAGTAGATTCTGGACGTTGACTTGTTTCGATGATTCCCGTTGATTCTGAAGATCTTTTGACGTGAGACCACTTGGATTCGCTTCCTTATCAAATTAGCTTTCCAACCATATGTGGATCGTCGAAAACGGAGTCCGGATGCGTCCTGGGTGACCAGTTTAAGGCAGACTGGTCCTGGAACCCGAGATGGACTCCAACTTCAGTTGGCCTGGGCCTCCACAATGAAAAAGATGAATTGGACGTCCATGCTGGACCTCCTCCTCTCCTTGACTTGTATGCGACGAAGTAGTGATGTCCTCATCATCCTCCCTTTCTTGAATTGAAGTCGTCCTCGACTAAAGTAGATCGTCTCCTCCATTGGATGACAGCGACGATGGCTCCGGAAGAAGACATTCATCTTGGCGCCCAATCCTTCACAAAGGCGGCTGCCATGGTGGCCTCCCTACTGGAAATTCATTCTCCTTCTCCTGCAAAAGGTTAGTACCAACAAGAGGCATAGTACTAAAGCAGGACCAAGTGGACATATAAGCGATGCACAAGTTAAAGCATAACATGGTTCATCATGATCAGTAAGAACAGATTTAAAAGCAAATAAAACTTCTTTCTTGTTACTTGATGGTTCATTTGCTGGTTTGTTAAAGTCTTTATCATGGCATTTCTTTTTCTTTTCAGTAAGTTCCTTTTCATATTGCACAATTTCAGAAGGAGTTAAAGAAAGTAAAGCAATGGTCTTTCCCTTAAACATAAAAGTATATCTATTTTGCCTACCATGATGTAGAACATTATTATCATATTGCTAAAGACGGCCTAACAAAAGTGAACAAGCTTGCATAGACACGACATCAAAATCAGCATAATCATGGTATGATCCGATAGAAAAATGCACACGAGCATATTGTGTTACCTTTGCCTTACCACTATTGTTGAACCACTGAATATGGTAGGAATGTGGAAGAGCACGTGTAGATAAACCAAGGGCCTTGACAAGCTCAGAACTTACCAAGTTATGCTGCTCCCTCCATCAATTATAGCATAAACACGGAAAATATTGACAATGAGGAACATTTGAAACAAATTGTGGCGTTGTAGCTTGTCTACTGGTTCAACTTGTGTACTCAAAACACGCTGAACAAGGATTGATTTGTAGTTTGCAGTGCATGCCACACTATCAATTACCTCATCAGGATCTTCAGCAACATCAGGATCTTCAGCACTATCCGCAAATTTATCTGCATAAAGATCAGTTGCAAGTGCAAATTCATTCTCTTCATCACTAGCACTAGCGTACTCACCGTCATCAGTAGGAATATATGCGTGTTTGCTGGGGCATTCTTTAGCAATATATCCCATGCCCTTACAGCGGTGGCAAACAACTTTAGAAGAGCTGCTAGAGTAAGGTGTAGCAGATCCACTGAAAGAAGGTGTGATAGAAGAACTCTTCTTTACAAGCGCTGGTGGTGTCTGCACATTAGAAAATGTACTCACCTTGGTTTGACGTGAAGGGGTGGACGGAGTCGTGGAATGCCTAGGTTGTCGCCCCTGTACTTCCCTTTCAGCTTTAAGAGCATAATGATATAATTGAGAAAATCTAGTCTATTCTTTATAGTCAAGAACATCCTGTATTTCACGACACAAACCTCCAAAAATCTAGAACACTTATCCATTTCATCCTCTTGTATGTTACTACGTGCTAGACCAATTAAAGCTCCCGATAATATTCCTCAACAGTCTTACTACCTTGATTTAAACGTTGCGCTTTAATCGCAGATCACGCCGATAGTAATGGAGGAACAAATCTTGATTTCATTAAATCGTTTAAGTACAGTCCAGGTTTGAGGTATTTGAGCATTAGCATTAGCATTAACATTATTGCAAATATCATTCCACCGTAAAAAGAGCAAAACTAGTAAACTCACTAGTAGCAAGTCTAACTCTATATTCTTCCAAAGACTTGATGGGAGCTAAATTTTTGATCTACGACCATCTCCCAATCTAAATATGCTTCAGGATCAAGCAGAAACCGGAAAAATGAGGTATCTTAAACTTGGTTTTAGAGAAAGGATCATTATTACCTTGGTTATTACCTCCCATACCACGATGGTTAAAGTTCAACCAATTACGGTTACGTGCATCCTCAGCACGTCGTTGAGCTTTGGCTTCAGCCTCCGCGTCGCCATCCTCCTCCTCAGAGAGATCATCATCACCATCTACAGGACGTGGTTCAGGATGTCGTTGTTCAATATCTTCAATCATCTTGGCCAAGTTGGTGATTTGCTGAAGGATCTCATTGAACTTGTCATCAAGAACGGCACGAAGCTCATTCTTAGAAACACAGTCATTGAAATCTGTAGGTGTGTCCCCGTTTCCTTTGCCGCTGTCTCCGGCTTTTCCTGACATGGTTAGTAGACAGAAGAAGACAACAGAAATAGTATTGTCCCTACTAACTACTTAGGTTGTGGACAAGGAAAAACAAGGCACTCAACCCTCAAGTGTCTTACCACGGTCTTACAAGTGTTCTTACCAAAGCAATAGACGGTGTAATCGGTCGGTGACTATGATACCGTTGTAGCTCGAGTGTAACAGTTGCAAGGCGAACATGTACTTGGTTAGAAGAAAGTGGAGCTTGGACAGACACAATATAGTAGCAAGGAATATCAATATTCGCAACTGAATAACAAAGCTGAATAAATATCCTGAGTACTTGTCTTAGTTGCTGGCCTACTCACGTTTCAAGTATCAGATGTATCAAGTGATGTGAACAACAGAAATATGATTAGGAACAAGGCAGAAATCAGCACACGCAAACACAGCTCAAATGACGCTCTCTATGTGCTCCTCTAGATATTGTTCCTCTTTTGCCCCTCTTTTTTCTATTTTTAGGCTGTCGTTGTTTTTTTGAGAAATTTTGACCTTTTCTTTTTCTTTTTTTGATATTTTTCCTTTAATTAGGAGCACAAAAGAAGTACCCACAGAAAATATGAGCTTAAACAAGTGAAAGGCGTGGCCTGTGGAAATTTCAGAAGAAGTGGTCAAAATCGACAAAAAGCTTGTGACCACGAAAAGAGGATCTTGTGACCAGTTTTTGACCAAAATAAAAATTTCCGATCCCGAAAATTTGGGCGATGGACAGATCCGATTTTTTTTTCTGAACGATTTTGATATATGGAACGTCGAAATCCGAGTTCATACGCGAAAACTAGACCAGTTTTACAAATGGACTCCGAATTAGAGGACAAAACGGGAACAATGCGCGCAAAATTGGTCACGGTAGCAAGAATTTGATGAAAACAGTGAAGACAAGTGTAACAAATTAGATGACGTGGACTAGGGTTTGATGGATATAAAGGAAACACAGCAAGACTTGAATGTGTTCACAGATTATGATGAAAAACAAAGAGAAAAACACAAACTGGACTCAAAACGATTTAAAACCAGCAACCAGAACTTGACCTAGGGCACAAACTCAACAACGCGAAACAGAGACGAAATTGCACGGTACAACGAGGCTAT